CTAAAGTACTAAGTACATTTTATAACACTAACCACTTGTTTCTCAGAGGAATCATTTACTTTTATCGCCACAGAAAGGTGCAGAGCCTAGGCAAGAAACACTTTCCAAAGGTGGTTCTTGTGGCCTTTGGAGATTCCAATAGACCCCATTCCAACAGTACAGTTCCTTTCACAGCACTTATCAATGCTCCCAACACCGAGGCACAGAGACACACCAGAGGCTAGTTTCAGTTCACCTCCACAAGAAAATCTCTTGGAATGCTACCAAATTCAGTAGGAACTCAGGACTTTATAATTCCACATTCAGGCAGGTTAGAGGCTGCCTTTAGCCCATTCCATGGAACTTAAGGTGTTTAGTCAGGGTGAAACAGGGTGATCTGCTTGCTCTAGCATGGCAGAGTCAGTCCTTGATCTTAGGACATTTTTTCACCATCACTGATAAATCAGACCTTCTCCTTTCCTGGCCTAAATCAGTTCAAGTATGACGCCTGCTCCAGCCACCGCAGTGCATAGTATAGAAGCTTCTGGCTGGCTCCTGTCCTGACAGGATGACTGCTCTTGGCACTGCAGGGAGATGGCCATGAAAAGTAGAAAACTGGGCAAGTGCAGCTTGCTGTGCTTAGGTCAACTGTTCTCACGGGTCTGTTCCCTGTTTGCAGACCTTTGTTCTTGATCCAGACTACTAACTTGGACCCAACGTGTGAGGTTTCAGCTCACTCTTTTCCAGTGAAGGGAACACATTTTAATATTATGCAGTGCAAGAAAATTGCTTGCAGAAGGTCTTCAATTCCCCCCTTTTAAGAAATCATTCCACAAACTGTCCCGAGTCTACGGTACAAAACACTCAAGATACTATTACCTTGACAGCTACTGGAAAGTTGTTTGTTATCTCTTTTTGAAACCATTGCTCTTGGCACTGACTGAATCTGCAAGGGGTGGCAGATATCCTAGCCCTTCCAGAGAATCCTCTTTATTTTGTTCTCACTAGTGATGACAGTTCCCCAGCAGCACATCCAAGAATTTCTATCTACATGACTATGGAATTAAATGTTTAAATGTATCACATCTTGCCCAGTGATGCAGGACTAAAAAGAAAGTATCTGTTTGGGCAAACATCTACAAAGGTAAGCAACCACTTAAATAAAACTAAGCAAGCAAAACCTATCTTTTGTGGAACATGAGACTTTTTTTGAAGATGAGAATAGTTCAACAACCAGGCCTTAAAAACCTTTCTGAACTGACCTTAAAAAAACATAAATTTAGAAGCAAGAGGTGGTCAGAACTTTCAAGCATTTTATTGTGAAAGACACTGCTGACAACCATGAGAAGTCTCATACACACATGCAGTGATACTATGACTACTGATCAAAAACACTGCTAATTAAGACACAGGTGACCTGACTCTGGCTTGTTGTTCTTTTCATAACTACAGATACTCAGAAGCCAAAGGCTGAGTGGCAAAAAACATTCAGTTTTGTCAGAATACAAAAAAACCCACAGTCTAGTTCTGATGAATATAAGCACATTTGCAAAAGAAAATGTTGAGTCTCCAGAAGAGAAGCGTTCCATAAGAACTGTTATCTTGGGGTTTGCTTGTTGCCAGGGGATGGGGGGAATTTCTTCTGGTTTTTAAACAGAAGGTCATTTTTAAATGAAAGACTATTGTGAAGGAGATTTTTTTAAAGCTTTGTTGACCATCCAGCTCCTGGAAAATTATGCAATAATAATAGTATTTCCAGGCACAGAAAATTCCTGGCCTCCAGGCAACTTTGGAGGTGACATAAGAGCATTCTCTCTACAAAGAATTACAAATGGATAAAGTCTTAAAATATAAAAGCTGGATTTGCACGTTAGCTGACAAAAAGACTATACCATGAAATTAACTAAAATAATTAATTCCACCAACTAAACTAAACTAAATTCCTAAAAACTACCTAAAATTCTTAAATTAACTAACTAAAAATAAACTCCTCCTAAACCTCGCCGCACTTTCACACATAAAGGAACCTTTAAACGAAAAGAAACTTACTCTGCTTCAATAACTCCATGTTGTGGGGTTATAGTAAGGCAGTGAGCTGGCCACGAAAGCTCAAATGTCAGCATCCTACTAGAGTTGTTGACAACTTGTACACGTCCAGTATCCGCTGTTCCACCTATAATAAAAAAAAGCTATAAAAAGCTAACATGTACAAAAATTCACGTAAGTGCCTAAGATTCAGGGATGCACCAATTAAAGCATTTTCTGCCTTATTTTTACATTCACAATGCTTTAAAACCTTCATAGGTATGCAGAACATATGTATATATATACACACACAGAGCACACTACCTCTGATAATTTAACCAAAACCAAGTTTACTGTTTAGATGTAAAGCTACCGCAGCAAGATTATTGGCCAAGCCACATTTGCAAACACAAAATAACTACAAACACGGTATGCGATACAGTTTTTTTTAAAACTAGAGTGGTCATTTTATTAACTCCAAAAAATACTTACTAATAGAAGGAGATGTCAGAGTCAAGTACTCAGGTTTAACATCCCAAGTCTGTTGAGCATCTGATTTATTCTGAATGACATCATCAGTTTTTACATGTAATGGAGGACCTTGAGGTCCTTTAACAGGAAGAACATCCAAAGTTGCATTGATATGTCTGACAGAGTTCTCAAATCTGAAAATCAGATTGCATTAAGCAAAAGCAGTAATAAAAATAACTGATGAGTAATTACAACAGCCTATTCTTAGTATTTCTCAAAATTTAATATTGAAATACGATGTTCTTTACATGGGTCTTCAGTTAAATTCAATCCTCTATTATTAAGAAAAAAATCCATTCAGCAGCTATATCATGACACAGCTTTTTCACAGCACGCTTAGAAGTGGAAGGTATCACTTAGAATGGAAGGTACCAAAATAAACAATTACCTTGAAGTGATAATAAAGTAAAATGCTTTGTCTATACATACTTTTTTTTCAGATTAAGAAAGTACTGCAGAGAGAAATCAGGCAACGCAAGTTGTGTTTCATAGAATGGAGGTCAGGAGGGACCTCCAGAGATCACCTAGTCCAACACCCTGCTCCAAGCAGGGTCAGCTACCACAGGTTATACTTAGGACATTGTCCAGTCAGGTACTCAATTTCTCCACAGATGAAGACCTCACAATCTCTCGAGGCAACCTGTTCCAGTGTCTGACCCTCACCAGAAGAAATAAAAAAAAGTTTCTTTTGAATTGAGTTCCTTGCATTTCAGTTTGTGTCTATTATCTCTTGTCCTGTCACTGAACACCACTGGGAAGACTGTCTTCCTCCTCTTTACTTCCCTATCAGTTATTACCTGAGAGAATTCATCCCTTAAGATAGCAATGAACCTGGAAGGCAACTGATTCACATAATTCTTTGACATGGAATTTCCTAACAGTCAGATTAGTAGTTAACACACTCAGATCTCTTCTAAGAATTACAGTCTACTCAGAAAATGAAGATCCTAATGATGCTTAGCCAGGGAATAAATTCAAATCTAGAAGAACCAATAAGGCTGTTGAGTGGAAAAAAAACTAACAAATTACAACCACCAAGTAAGAGAAATGTCACGCTTCCTGCTGCAGATATACATATACACGCTAGCTTTGCAATCCTACTATGCCTGACAAACAACTCACTAGCTGACAAATCTGTCAAGTGTCCCCAAGTGTTCAGCATCCAGAGTTCAACAGGTACAAGCAACCTACATACATAGATGTTAAACACAAAAGGACTAGGTATCAAGTGTCTAACAGGATCTTGTGAAGAAAAAACATGAAGATTCAAGAAACAACCTATGCAAATACATTCCTTATAGTGTTAAAATTAAGCCATTTATTTTGTTTACATGCTACACTACCTTAGTACGTAGGACTTGGGTAGGATTGGGTCATTTCTTGCCCTTTTCAGGGCTCCAAACGCTACAGGAACCTGTCTAAATACAAGCATCCATTCCATTCTAAAGACCAGGTCTCTGCCAGTCCTCCACAAAAATCCTCCAGTAATGGACCACTTCATTCAAGGGAGGGTGGGGGTAGCTGCAGCCCTCATTATTCTTTTGATGAGCACAGTACACACTACACTGGAAGGCTGACATATGGGCTGGACAAGGAAAAGGCCACTAAGCCTTTGTAATGTATCTTTATTTCCACCCCAGACACCAAAAGTCCATTGCAAGGAATGAAGTGGCTATAGTCCTATTAGGGCTATAACAACAAATGCACTTTGGAAGTGCCCATGGAAGAAAAACAGTTTTTTCAGATGAAGAATAGGAAGCTGCAGATAAAATTGTGTCAGCCGAGGGAACAGTTTAAAAGTTGTCATAAGAGTTTAAACAGACTGTATAAATAGTGAGAAGAGCCACCTCAATATTCATTGGAGCCATTCTCATTATAGAGCCAGAACTTCCACTTGTAAAGGAAGTCAGTTTTCACCACCAACATTAAAATCTTCAATGAAAGGAGATGCACTTCAGTTACGCGTTATTTGACAGTTAGTCTTATAGTTACATTACCCATCTGATTCCAAATGGTGTGCGGGAGACTGCTGAAACCCATCCCGATCAAGACTGGAGTATCCAACCACAGAAAGGATAACCTTTCGCATATTTGCGTAGAAAAGATGGATATCGTTTTTCCCCCGTGGGATATCACATACTAAAAATGAAAGTAATAGAGCAATTCTAAGAACAAATCTATAATACTCAGAAATTGCACAACAGAGATTTAGGATATAGACCTAGCTAATAATCTGTTGGCTAAGATATCCTAGGTCACTCCAAAAATTACTTGCAGCAAGTTCAGTTACCAGGTATAAAACAACATTAACATGAGATGCAACATATAAATCTAAATACGCACCAATTTTAACTTATATTTTCCACCTTTATACAAATGATATATACTAACTTCAATTTGACATAGAATCAGACTAAGTTTTTTACTCTGAAAAGTAATACGTTCCTAAGGCTTCACAGCAATTTGACTTGACAGAAGTTATTTTTCAATTACTCAGTCTATTCAATCTAACACTTCATTATTTAATTCATTATACCAGTAAATATCCAAAAGATCAGGAATGTAAGAGTATGATTTTAAAATAATAAAGTTTCATCAAAACGTTTAATAATCAAGTCAGTTTTCTCCTTTGCTTTGAGCTGTTCCACATTGAATAGCCAGAACAAAGAAGTGAATCCCTTTCACACAGGATAACAGTTGGATCAAATGTATTTCCTTTGTCAGGTAGCAGATACCAGGGACAATTCTTAGTATTTGTATGTAGCTTCTACAACTTGGCTACAGATAAGACAGAGCAACATCTGTTGTAACAGCGTTTTTAGTTAGAATTTACATGCATCTGGAAACCTGTTAACAAACTTAAGTCTTGCAAAAGGATGTCTAGCAAAGTATGGTTTTTAGAAGAATATTATATTTATTCTGTCATATATATTACAAATTTCAGTATGGAAATATGTTCTTTCTTTAGGATGACCGTTATTTCTACTCTAAGCTTCTTTTATTCCCTCCCCCATCCCCTAACTCAGTTCCATTCAGGTCAGAAAAATCCCAATTTTCAAATATCCCATTAAAATATTTAAATCTGACAAACTCATTTTCTCCAACTTAAATATCAAAAGGACTAGTTCATATCGTTAAGATAACTTTGAATGCCAAGGCCACAGTACACACAGTTCCGGACCCAAATCACAGCATGCAAACACCATGATGGTGCCATCTTCACAATCACAGATAAAAAAAATTTTATTCAAAGGCTTAGATCCTACAAAATATAGTGAAGTACATCATATGATACCTAGAAATGCACAAGAGGATGTTGCGAAGAATACTTGATCAGAATTCCTTCCCTACTCTTTAACAACACATCCATATGCAGACAAGATGTTAATATACATTAAAAACTGAAATCATTTTGACGACCCAAGTACAGAAGTCACAAAACATTTCAGACTGCTGTAGAATAAAGAGTTGCTAGGTGTTAAATACCAACCACCACTGTCTCTGTTCAATTTGTAACTGAAGCACACCTTAGCAACGAGAAATATGAGACCAGTGTGTAAATGATCTTCGATCAGTGCAGCAAACCACACTAGTGTTAGGCAATAACTGAATTGGTAGCCTCGTAGAGGTGAGGCTGGCACAGGCCAACCAGTAGCAAGGCTGAGCACATGTCCCCTCCCAGTAAGCACCCACACACGCAGAGCCAGCCCCACAGACCAACACAGACAGAAACACTCAGCACTCACGCAAACACAAACAGCACCAATGGCCTCATCCTGTCCCCCTCTCTGGCTCATCAGGATGAAGGCTCCTTACTGAGAACAGCCATATGGACAACATGGATCCTGCCAGTTGCCAGTCCTAGGCCACACCACTCTGATGCACCAAGTGAGCAGCCTGGTGAAAAACTGACCACACTATTTCAAACACTAACGTTCATATGTAATTCCTTGTTAGGTTTTCCAAATACCTCTGCGGATTAAGACCATGAGGAACAGAGACCAAAACAACCTAGGGATCCAACTTTATATTAAAAGCAACCCTTATAGCCAAGATACTCTATTCCTTGAGCTTTTTCCAGCACCATCTCTTTAACTGTCTCCTATTTAAAAGGCAAAAAAAGTAGAAAAAACATTTAGATGTTAAAAAAAAACCCCAACTTCTCACCTAAAAGATAGCATCTCACAGAAAAGAAAAAAAATAAATCAGATTTCTTAATTCTAGGTATTGCTACTAGTTCCTGCAAAGTATTTGACTTATGAGAACCTGTAACAAAAAAACAAACTTATGGATATTCCCACTGAAAAGTCAGTGACCATCAATCTGCGTAAAATAAGATTGTACTATTCACACTGGACAACACTGGGTGGCAAGAAGGTAAGGAAGCGCTTCAAGTGTCTATCATTGTTAAAACGAGTAAGAACAACCTAGTTTACTTTTCTAAGAGGTACTCTTTCAGCATCCTTCCTTGAAGGCATATTTTCAGTGTTACACAAGTCTGTCGCATGTTCTGGGTTTGGGTTTTTAACAACAGTCTTCATCACAAATGTATTGATTGAGTACAGAAAGTAGTACATAAGAGGGCAAGGATCTCCTACATCCGAGATAAATATGTTTGACTAAATAAAACAATTGTGACTAAATAGGGAACAATAAGCTACATTTCACAAATTCAGGAAAGTACACTCTCAAAGACAGACAGAAAAACATTAAAATGCAAGAGGTAGGCCCTGTTTTCTACAGAAAGAAAAATAAATTAGAGCTACCAAAACTCTAGTACTAAGGCAACAAGTGATAACCAAGGATGTCTTGCCTCTAACACTGCCTTAACTTCAGAGAATACTCCAGAACCCAAGCATCTTATCTTCACCAGGATTTCTCCTCAACCAAGATGAATGATCAACGATCTTTACTTTTCCAAGCAAAGACTACATAGAATCTA